TTCTCCCTCTGACCCTCCCCCCTCTCATGTACTCTCTCTCATTCTCGCTCTCTCAAATAAATAAATAAAATCTTTAAAAAAAAAAAAAAAAAAAGTCTGTCTTCTTGCAGAACAAGTGTTTACAGGAGCCCGAGAATGTTAGAAGTGAACTGCAGACACACGCACACACACGCACACACACGAAGCGTGTGTCTGACAGGGCGCCCACACCAAGAACCACTGGGGCTCAGGGCACCTTTTCGTCCAGGGCTTTGTGGTGCTCGAACAAGGACTTCAGGGCTTTGAGCACCTCCACCTCGCTGGACACGCCCGCCGGGGACTGCGCCTGCCGCTTCACCACTGTCATCCGCAGGGACCGCTCATGCCTGGACACGAGGCACTCCAAATGCTCCAGCAGCAGCTGGTGGGACAGGCCAAGGTATAACCATGTTTAAAGAGCACTTGCAACTTCATACGTCAATTTGGGGCAAAAACCCCTTTCAATTGCATGCTAGACCAAATGTGAATCCCTTCAATTCAGTCTAAAATTAGAGAAATGCACCCTCAAATGAGCTAAAATAGCATTAGTTCTCATCACGACTCAAACAAGGTATGAGAACAGTGAGCTCATCAGTCAGGGTCGACTCCACGGGGAAATGTCGACAAGGTGTTTAAAAGCCAATCGAATGGATGGCGCCTGAGTTTAAAGACAGCAACAGTGCTCCCTAGGTGACCCTCAGACAGCATTCCAATAGTGAGAATGCACCTACTGACCCTGGTGTTGTTTCTTTCCGCCTTCAGTTCCGCGATCTCTTCTTCTCTCTCCAGGAGCTGCTCCCTGCAGACGTTGAGCTCCTTAGTAAGTGCTGCGAACTCCTGGGGGAGGGGGCAACAAAAACGGAGGGAGACAGTGGGGGGTCTTTAGCCTCTGCAGCCCTCCCCAGCCCCCACGCCCACCAGCCACCCCAGAGCCTTGCACGCACACAAGCCCCCGCCTCATGACATACCTGAGTCCCAGGTATTTTACAGAGCTTGGGGCCTGACACCCAAGGGGACAGAGACATTTTCAGGTGCTTTGCAGATATGCAACTCAGAACCTCTGCCGAGGGGAGAACGTTAGGCTGAGAAGGCCACTGCTTATCCCCAGCCTCCTGTCCTAAGCCAGTTCCTCTCTGTGAAGACCACAGGGCTTGGAGCAGCCCCAGGAGGAGGCTGATAGCACCCAAAAGCTGGTCTGTTAGCCCTAACTGGCTCAAAATTGACCATATAAAATAGACTTTCCACAAATGCTGGTAGGCCTCTGAGGGACAGCTGAAGATTTATTTCTGTAGTCAGAGAACTTTCTAGAGGAAGTGTCACTGAGGTGATGCCAGGGTCCCCCCCACCCTGCTGTGGGGTTGCTCTCCTGCAATACTGAGTGCTGCCCTGGGACAAGACACAGAGGCAGGGTCCAAGGAAGAGGACACACACTCTCCGGTCCGTTTTTCAACAAGCAAAACTCCTCTGAAATAAGTAAGGTCTTCTGCCAATGAATCTCCATATTTTAAGAGTTTTCTCTTTAAAGGACAAAGGAGGAAATAAAGGTTCACTTAACAATCTGACATTCAAAATACAGAAAGTGATTGATTTAAGCAATTCTAGAAAATCAATTTATAAACAAGTGGCATACCTCAAGTTCATTCATAAATTAACCCTTTGCAACTCAAAGGGAACTTGACCACGGAATGTACAGCATTCCCTATGATCCGACTTCACAAGGCTGGTCCACAAAAGCCTACTGAGCCATGATACAGAACTGAAACAGAGCTGACCCGTGAACAACACAGGCTTCAACTGTGCAGGTCCACTTCTATCTGGCTTTTTTCAATAAACACACTGGAAAATGTTCTGGATCTGCAACAATTTGAAAAAACTGGCAGATGAACTGAGTAGCCTAGAAATGTCAAAAAATTAAGAAAGGGGCACTTGGGTGGCTCAGTCGGTTAAGCAACTACGTTCAGCTCAGGAAATGGTCCCAGGGTCCTGGGATCGAGCCCCGCATCGGGCTCCTTGCTCAGCGGGGAGCCTGCTTCTCCCTCTCCCTCTGCTCCCCAGGCTCCTGCTCTCTCTCTTGCTCGCGTTCTATCTCAAATAAATAAATAAAATCTTTAAAAAAATTGAAGAAAAAAGCATGTCATAAATGAATAAAATATATATAGGTACTAGCCTATTTTATCATTTGCTGCCATAAAACATGCAAATACTCACAGTCCCATACATGGTGCCATTTGCAGCCAAGAGAAACGTAAACAAATGTGAAGATGCAGTATTAAATCATAACTGCATAAAATTAACTGTGGTACATGCTGTACAGTGTGATAATTTTGTGCCACCTCCCGTTGCTACTGCGACGAGCTCAAGTGTGGCAAGAATCTGCTAAAAACACCGTGATGCTAATCCTCTCCTGTAAGCAGTTCCATTCTCCAGTACATTGTGTATCGCAGTAAAAAGTGATTTCTTGTGGTTCTTGCGTATTTTTGGTTGTGTTTACTGCAACACCATAAACCCTGAATAACACCTTGGGACTCACACGAAGTGCCCTCACTAGTGCAGCTGGGAGTGCTCCCCAGAAGCAGAGAAAAGTCAGGCGTCACAAGAACAAGGTGAACTGCTTGACACGTACAGCAGCAGACTGAGGTCACAGCTGCGGCTGCCGCCAGGTCAAGAGAAGAGAGTCCAGGTAGTTCGTGAAGCTGTCACTGCGGCTACGCTGGCAGACACAGAAACCATGCAGTTTTGGTGAAATCCCTTTTTGCCTCGTATTGAAGATGCAGCCCTTCTCTGGATGCAGGACTGCTATAGGAAGGTATACCTACGGACTCCAGTATGAATCTTCAAAAGGGGAAGTCATTATGTGACAACTTAAAGCCAAAGGAAGGTGACGGATCTAAAGCTGGAGAATTTCAATGCCAGCAAAAGATGGTCTGGTAATTTTAGAAAGAGGTTTGGCCTTAACACATGTGAAGGTAACAGGAGAAGCAGCTTCCACCATCAAGAGGAAGCGGACGATCCCCCAGACACCACGGAGAGAATCACCGAGACGCTGGAACTAACGTAACACTGCATGCCAACTATACTTCAACCGAGAAGAGACGAGACAAGATGAGAAAAGACGAGAAGAGACGAGGAGACGAGAAAAGGAGACGAGACAAGAAGAGACGAGACGAGAACAGACGAGAAGAGATGAGACAAGGAGAGAGACGAGGAGAGAGACAAGAAGAGACAAGAAGAGAGACGAGACGAGAAGAGGGAAAATCACTGAGGACAGGATTTTTCATGCACGTGGAAGTGCCCTCTTTTGGGGGGACATTTATTCATGAGGAAGGCAGGAAGGGGCGAGCAAGCTAGCGCATGTGCGGGGGCAGTTTGTGATCAGGCTGGCCATATCTACGAAGCTAACCCCGGGGGGCTTAATGGGAAGACACAGACACCAGCAGCCAGTCCTTTGTGCAACAAGAAGACCTGGATAACCAGAACCTTTTCTCAGGATCAGTTCCACTGATGCTTTGTCCCTCACCTTGGGAGGTACCCTGACAGTAAGGGAGTGCCTTTTAATGTTCTTCTGATATTGGACAATATCCTGGCCACGCAGAACCCCACGAGCTCGACATCGAACATGTCCAAGTGGCCCATGTGCCCTGGAGCACAATGTCTCTAATGCAGCCTGTGGATCGGGGGCCATGAGGACCTGCAAGGCTCATTACACACAATCCTTTACGAAAAGGACGGTCAACACTATGAAAGCAAATCACAACAGAGAGAACACCTTGGAAGTCTGGAAGGATTACACCACCGAAGATGCTGCTGATGTGACAGAAAACGTCGTGAAAGCCATCAAGCCCAAAACAATAAATTCCTGCTGGAGAAAACGGCCCAAATGCTGGGCGTGATCTCACAGGGTTTACGACACAGCCAATGTGGGAAATCATAAAAGAGATTGTGGATATGGCAAAAAAGCTAGGGGATGAAGGGCTTCGAGATGTGGATCCTGGAGAAATTCAAGGGCTCACAGACGCCACCCACAGAGTTAACAGAGGACGACGTGACGGAGAGGAGAGCTTCCGAACCAGCGCCAGGGGGTGAGGAAGGAGACTCAGAAGACGCTGTGCCAGAAAACACAGTGACATCAGGCACCCTGGAGAGGGCTCCGCTTGTTCAAGACTGCGCTTGACTTCTTGTACCACACGGACCCGTCCATGGTGCGGGCACCGGAGCTAAAGCCCGGGGCGGGAGTACTGGCAAGGCATATACAGACATTTGTAGAGAAAGGAAGAGGCAAAACACGTCAGACAGAAATGTACTTCCAGAAAGTGACACCAGGTGTGCCTGCCTCCCCTGGGACAGCAAGACCATCCCCCCTCTGCCTCCTCCCCGTCCTCAGCCTCTTCCACGGGAAGGCTACGAGGAGGAGGACCTTTATGATGATCCGCCTCTACCTGATGGACAGTAGAGAACCATCATGGCGTACATACACTTATCTGCTGTGTGTGCAAATCCAGTAAGTGTGCAGGGACAAGGTGAGTGAGATTTAACATAAAATTAATCATGTGCCAGTTGTTTTATAACTTTGCTTTCAAAGAATTACATTACCTCACAGAATGCTTCTCTCATCATTGGAGAAAATGTGTATCAGCCTATTACCACAATTGTTTTTTAATGCAGACTACATTATGAGTATGTCTGTAATACTGTAGGCTATAAAAGTTTTATGACAATTCATTCATCAGCGGACAGGCGAGGCAATGATGAAGTAATCGTACTGATGACACTGGGTCACCATAAAGCAACCACACATAGTACCACATGAATCGTCAGTCTGTAAATAAAGAGGAGCCTTTCACATTATCTTCTCGTTTCTGATGTCTGGTGTTAGTAATACTGTCACATCTGCGTGTTGCAGAAGACAGTCCTGCCGCAGGCACTGACGAGTCATCTTGTAAACGGACGACACAGCCATCGATGCAGCTCAGTGCTGTCAACGTATTTTCCTTGTAATTTTCTCAAAATTTTTTCTCTAGCGTACTTTGCTCTAAGAATACAGTATATAATACATACAACACAGAATGTAAGTGTTAACCGAGTGCTCGTGCTACCAGGAAGGCCAACAGGAGGGTCTCAGTAGTTCAGTTTGGGGGAGCCCAAAGTTAGACTCAGATGTTTGACTGTGGGCAGGTCGCACCCCTAACCCCAAGTTGTTCAAGGGTCAACTGTACTCATCCATGGGGAATGAAAAGAATCAGGCAGTATTGCTATAATCAACAACAGAAAAGAGTAAAATTGCAGTATTTTCTCTTGGATGCGGTTATTTCAAGGGGACAAACCGGAGGGAGTGGGGAGACAGGTAATTTATAGAGACTGAGCATTTTCACGGGTATAATAAGCTAATGGTCCTTTTATCTAATCCACCTTCTAAATCAGAGTTTCTTCTTCAAAAACCCACAATTATGGGTGATCAGCTTCCAGCTTCACAGCATGAAAAGCCCTACACACCTACATAAAAACAACTATTCAAAGCCTCCAAAACCATCCAGTGGCACACAACAAATGAAGAAATATCTATTAAAAAAAAATCTACAAAGATTCAGTAAGAAAGGTGAGTCTGCAATATTTGAACCCAAACTGACCCCCCCTTCCTCCCAGCTCAGGGAGGTGAAGATTCCCCTCCAGGGGCTGTAGCCAAGAACATAGGGTTCCCTCACCCCCCTAGAACAAGAGCACAGGGTCCCCTCACCCCCCCAGAATAAGAGCACGGGGCTCCCTCACCCCCCAAGAACAAGAGCATGGGGCTCCCTCACCACCCCTCCCCCCAGGAACAAAAGCACAGGGGTCCTCTCACCCCACCCTGGAACAAGAGCATGGGGTTCCCTCACCACCACCCCCCGAGAACAAGAGGAGGGGCTCCCATGTCCCCCAGCCCCCAAGCCCAAGGGCTTTCAGTGTTTCTCATCATGCCCCAGCTGCCTGTCTCGTACAGAGGCCACATCCTGGGCATGAGTGCTGGAAAGGCAGGGGCTCCCTGGTTCTGCCCAACTCCACTCAGGGAACGGAGGCTGGAACCCTGGGTGGAAGGGGCAGGCTGAGAAGCCTGGGTCCTGGTCACCTTTGCTCCTGGTCTCGGAGACGGTGGTTGCAAGGCTGGAGAGGACCCTGGGCCCCGGGCTGCTGCCCGCCCTCCCCAAATTGCTCAGTTCCTGGAGCAGGGGTGTCATTCAGACAAGCCTGCCTCTGTCCCTAGGCCTGGTGCAGAGATTTGGTGGTGGTGGTGGGGGGGGGGGTAGGGCAGCAAAAGAGATAGCTCCTAATCTCTTCCCAAAGGAAATGGACTTCACAGGCCAGTTTAAACCCAGGTGCTCTGGAGAGCAGAGGGGTCGTACTGAACATCAAGTGGGCAGAGAGCAGCCTAGACGACAGGCTGGTGCGTGTGCAGGAAAGAGGAGGAGGTGACGGCTGCAGGAGGAGCCCTCCCAGGATTAGGACACACACCAAACACCGACTTCAGGTACAATTCTTAGGAAGGAGCCAGAATTTGATCGGTTTAGTTTGTAGAGACATTTATACCCCAGAGCATTGTTGAAAACAACAGAGCAACTGGCCTGCAACAAGAGGGGGTCTCACAGCTGAGTGTGGTCACCCAAGGGGACCAGGCTAGGGGCGAGGGAGGCTTCAATGAAATCATCCGGCTATTCAATCAACTGGTTGCAATGTTAAATTTTATATATATTTCACCACAATTCCCTGACACGCACAAACACACACACACACAAACACACACACTGCTCTTTACAGACAAGGCTGTTTCTGCGATAGATCACAGACAACTCTTGACTTCAGTATTTCAAGGCAGAGCCACAAACACAAAGAAATGACAGTAAAACTATATGAGAATAATCCAAACGTGTCCTCAAACCTGACAAAGGTTGTGTCAAGTGCTGGGCCGTCTCAGAGACCCAGCGGGGAGCGCTGAGAGGACGGCCTGCGGCGGGGAAGTGGTGGGGAGGGGGGCCCTGTTCTCCCATTGGGTCCCGCTCTTTCATGAGCTGCAGAGATTCCTTTCCTATGTGCCAAAGTTAATTAGGCCAAATTCTTTGATTTTCATCTCCTCCAGTAAATAACTAGCTGACCATCAGGTCATTCAATGCCTAACGTTGAGAGATTTGCATCTAATCATCGAGATCTTGTATCAGAAAATACTGTTTGTGTTGCAGGTGAAAGAGAACCTGACCCAAACTAGCCTCGGTGAGATCCGCGATCTTTCACGCGGTGGGCCTGTCCAAGGAGGGGCTGGCTGCAGGCTCGCCAGGCCAGGGCCACGGATTTTATTTGGTCGCTTTGTCCCCTGGTGCAGCAAACTGGGTCAATTCACTAATTCGGTCTCTGATTATGTCCGGCCCAAAGTGTATCGTGCTAGCCAATACCTTCTTCATGTATTAGATTTTAGATGGTTTTCTGCCATGCCCTCCTTCCCTTGTTTCACTTCTGTTTCTGTTTTATCATTTCCTGTTTCTCTTCAGGGATGTTCATTTATCTGGTTACGCATGTAAGCAGACTTATTTTGACAGTTTTGCTAGACTGCAGATGAAGTAAATGCATACTTCCGTAGGTGCTGACTCTGGGAGCTGGAGGATCTGGTTTCCAGCTCAGCCTGAGCAGGTTCTCTTGGTGGCATTCCCCTCTCTGCCCTGTGTCCAGCAACTGCCCCTCCGAGCATCCCAAGGCCTCAGGCCAGAACTCGGTTTCCATGGTGACTGAGGGTTCCTGCTGCCTGTTCCTTACGGACAGTGAGGATCCTGTGAGAGAGTCACTGGACAGTGTGGCCCAGCCCAGGGATCGCGTCCTACCCTCCCGAGGCCCACAACTTCCTATAAAGCCCCAGTGTACCAGGGACAGTGACCTTACATGGGGAAGCCTTATCTAAACCCAGCTCTAAACAGCGAGTCTGATTTTGGTTCTAATTCCTCTGGACACACCAGTCCCTGTTACCCCAACCTGCAGGAGCCAAGTTTCCTGCTGCCCCTGCATGCTTGGTGCTTGGAGAGCAGCCGGCCAGGGAACCTGGCCAACTCATGCTTACCACACTGGGTTTCTATTCTGTTTCTGTATGAAAGGGATTTTTCTCTTGTGGGGGCCTGGCTATGTATTTGGGCTTATTTGTTTCTCTATTTAAATTTTACCTTTGCACTGCTGTTTGGAGATGAGCTATGTCAAAGAGTGAGTTTATGCTGCCATCCTGACTGGAAGCCACAGTTCATTCCAGAGATGGCTGCACACCCACTCTAGATGAACACCAGACCGGCGAGCCCGGCCCCTCCTCAGGGTGCTGCTGCAGGACAGACAGATAAGCTAGCAGTGACCCCAGTGTGGTCAGTGCTCCAAGTGAGAAATGCCCAGGCTACCATGGGAGCGGCATGGAGGTCATCTATGGCGGGAGGCAGACATGCGGCTCCAAAGGTCTGCCGAAGGAGAGGGCGCTGCAGGTGAATTCAGAACAGGAACCGGCTCTCTGGTAGGTGAGAGCCCCTTCACAGAAGCACAGAGGCGTCTGGTAGCGGAGGAGGGTGTCAGTGGGCTGTGGCCCGGGCAGTGTGCAGGAAGGGGTAAGGGAGGCTGGGAGTGGGCAGAGGCCAGATGGAAGG